CTCTCCGTTTAGGTTATCAAAGTTGTAGACATTTTCATAGTTTAAGATTAAAAGTCTGAGCTGGGTAAAACTATTTAAAAAAATACACATTTGAAAAATAAATCATGAAGACATAGTAAAAAGTTTCCAACACATTTTAATGTGAATTTCAACAAAAAGAAATAAGATGAACCCTGTTAGTTTTCATATAAAATCAACCACTAGAACATAAACGTACCTGAAGTTGCAGAACCGTTATATTTTTAAAGGTTTGCGTTTTTGAAACGTTTTAATTGGTATGTTTTTAAGATCGTGGCCTATACTTTTTATTGGTTAAGTTATTTTCATTCTATTTGAATGCCAACCATAATCTAAACGATCCATGCAAATTGATACTGCTAAAATTAAATATCAGGATCATTACATTTTTATTTTATCAAAAACGTTACCGAATAGTTTGCAAAAACTGTTTATTTCTTTTTTGTTTTTTTGGTAAAACTGGTTCAGGAAAATTAAGGTAACGTGATGTACAACGGGGCGTTTCTTCTCACCGCTTACGTAACGTTAACATCAGCTCGCTGCGTAAAGCTCCTCGTGCACATTAATTAATGAGGACGAAACTGATCAAACGAAATTATCGATCATAATGTCTGGAAAACAAAAGGTCAGTGAAAATAATGATTTTTAATTTTCGAATCTGTTGAAAAGACGTAATAGAAGGGGGAAGCTGTGGACAATTTTAGTGATGGCATCCCAAAAGGCAGACAACCCTTCCCACACCCTCAAGCTGTCTCGTAAAAATCTCGAAAAAGAAACGTGAGACGCCGGAAGCGCAACAATGAAATGTCTTGACGAAATTCAACGTCTACAGGTGCAAGCAACAACCCAACACGTTATAATAATCTATTTTGAGCTATGATAATTCATTGCCCCCGTTTGTACACCTTAACGGTTCAACACAAAGGCGATGTATGTTTATTTTTTACTTTATCTAAAAGAATATAGTGCATACTGCATAGGGTAGATATAATTTTCACCTTTCATTTAGCCTTAAACAAATGATCGGTAAATGAACTGGTTTACCTTTTAAGTAAGAGGATAATCCCCTCAGTCAGAGAACTGCATTTAACCGCGCCTTCATATGCGTCTTGAGGAAGCGAAATAAAACAGAGAAAATTTCATAATGAAAAATTACGTAAAAAATTGTTGAGCGGGAGAGGCTCCTGTCAGCTCCCTGCAGTACCGCTGTCAGATGGACGTCTAAAGATTTTTGATGGGCATGTAAACTGTCCAATCAGAAAGACCGAAGAGCATTGTCCCCGCCTTCGTATTGAGTAACTCGCCAATAGGAAACACCCTTTAAGGTGGCGACACCCTGTCAAATGTATGGGCTGTGAAATGTGAAACTACCCTCTTTTTATTAATACCGCCTACACGCCCTCTTTAATAAAAGGCGATGTGAGAGCCACTGAGGTATCACACCGACAAGATGTGTATATATATTATGGGATATATTTTATAAATTGCACATATCCCATATATATGTGCCCATATATTTGTGCTACTGTATGTGTAGCAAATTCCCCTACATTCAGAGTTAACAGCACATACTGTATTAGGCAAAAGCCACATGGATACATATTTAAACACGACATTTGTAATGTCCTGTAATTGCAATTAATTAAATTTAAAGGTCATTTTAATTGTACATATTGTCTAATATGTACACATTGTGAATGTACTGTTTTCTCTTCTTGTGCTAAAGTTAAACTATGTGAAGGCTTATCTCATCACCCACACAGGCTCTCTGGCTGACAATGTGTCCTTGTCATACTCCGTTCACAGTGGAAACAAAGATCCACATTGTGAATTTAGACACAGGAAGGCAAAATATTTCTGTCTGTCAAGTAATAATAGCACATTTCCATTCAATTTGCAGTATTGTACCAGCATAAAGTTGTCAAAGAGGCTGAATAAAATTATTCAAGACTTCCTGTTGTAAATTGAATTGTATGTCATATTGATAGGCTTTTCTGTTTACAGTACTGTAGTGACTGAATCATTCAGGCTGGGTCATAACAGCATGTGGATGACTGGAGGAAATTTGGACATTTGACCTTCATAAACCTTCCTATGACACAGACAAGCACATGATTTCATTTTTATTTTATTCAATTAACATTTATTCAAACAACATATAACTGGGCATGATCTATTTTTTTTTTTTTTTGGATTGATCTACTAAGGGAGTTCAGAATTTGGAAATAAGCTATAATTCATTTTAGAAAAGATTGATGCACTACTTCTTAACACATAATAACGTGACAGCATGTGGACAACAAGCCATTCATCATTGCAAAGTAATACATTTTCATGCAAGTAACTCTATTTTTGAAAAAAAAAAAAGATAAATCCATAATAATTGATTATGTCAATTTTTTTCTGAAATTATTTTGAGATTTTTCACAAAAACCTTTTCCAATACCTGTTTAACAAACTCAAACCACTAGATGTCAGTATAGTTCAAAAACAGTCTCAAGCGACGTATTTTATTAGATTTTCTGGTAACACTAAAATAAGGTTTCATTTGTTAACATTAATGTATTAACTGACCATGAACTAACATGAACAATACATTATTTACTGTATTTGTTCATCTTTGTTAACATCAGTTAACAGCTTCATTGTTTATTCATGTTACTTCACAGTGAATTAATGTTAACAAATACAACTTTTGATTTTAATAATGTATTAGTAAATGTTGAAATTAACATTAACAAAGGTTAATAAATGCTGTAGAAGTGCCGTTCATTATAAGTTCATGATAACTAATGAAACCTTATTGTAAAGTGTTACAATAAGATTTTTATTGTCAGATTTTTTTTTTAACTCGTACCTTTCCAAGTATGAAACATTTAATTTTTTTTTCATTAGCGCATGATTTACTACAAGTATGATCTAGTAAAGGAAATGCTTGTGGATAATGTTTAGTATTAACACGAAAAATCTCATGCAGATTATAAAGAGAACATCAAAAAGTGTCCCAAAAGATTAAATTATTATTTGGGCAAAATCTTTTTTTTCCTATATAGAATTACAGAAACTGCCATTCATCTCCATAATGTACACATTTTAAGAAGTTATTTTACTCCACATTACATTCTGGCTGACAGCAGATCAACAAAGAGGCAGTGGCAAAACTGGTACCATAACAAACAACTGTGCAACTTTATTAAGCTCAAAGGATGGCAGTACTGACATACAAGGGAACAGGTGCACAATGCAATATACCAAGTATATATTAGACCTATGCATAACACAGGCATGCATCCCTATCAGTAAAACACTGCTCATTTTAAATGCAATAGAGCTGCAACTAGACAAATCTACAGGTTAGAGGGGATGATGAAAGACACAACTGAATACACACAGTGATGAAATGTTGTGCACCAGCTTTCCCCCAAAACCCCTTAATAAAAAAGTGGCAAGTACATGGATCCAAACATGGAAAACAGGCCATTTAATGGAACAAAAAATAAATCTTTGGATACATTAAAAAACCCAACACTATACCCTAAATGAAAAGGAAAATGAGAGAGGAAACTTAGTTTTCATCCTCGCCCCCCTCTTTTGTTTCTTTGTTCTTTCGTACCTCTTCAAGCTTCTTGTCCTAAAATAAAGAAACAAATGTCCATTAAAATAATGTATTATTCAATAGAACTAAAGTTTTACGGAGTAAAACACAATGCATACTGTATGTATTCATCTATACACACACACCTTCTCTTTGAATTTCTCGTTCATAGCTGCCATGCGTGCTGTGCGGTTTTCTTTGTTGGCTTCCATTTTCTGGTTAAGCTTCTCCTCTGCCATCTTGCTGAAGTTGTTGTTCTCCTCCATTGCTTTCTGAAGGACCTCCTTCTCATGCTCTCGTTTCTCAGCCAAATGCTTCAGGACCTCTGCCTCATGGTTCTAACATGAGGAACAAATGAAGAAAAAAAAATGAGGAACAGAATGCAGGATCAGTATGCAATTCATTGCTAAACAACCACTTACCTTGCGTCTCTCCTCTGCAGCATCCAGCTTTTTCTGGATCTCATCCAGAGATACCTCCTTCTTCTTGGGGGTAGAAAGTGGGAATTCTCCCTTGGCATCTGGAGCCGTGGGACTCAGGATGACTTCAAAAGCCTGTCCTGAGGCACGCTTGTCCAGTTCCTTAACCTGAAATTCTATGAACGAAACAGCATTGCATTTAATAATCCACGCTCCATTTTCTTTGCAGAATGACTTCATTTAGATTATGGTTATAGTGAAGCATATTGATTTAGAAATCACTTCTTACCTCCAGAGGACGCCATTGCACTTCTAACCTCGAAGGTTTCACACACCTGCCAATAATAATATCAGATATAATAATATAAACATTTTGCTACTAACATCGATGCAACTTATGCTTACACATTATTTTCTCTTAATCATCTGTATTCTGTCACATACTGTAAACAAGTAATAACATTCATATATTGTAAACAAGCCTGAGCTATACAACAGCCTTTCTATCATCTTCAAGGCAAGCTTTTCATGAAAAATCCACTTGAGTGGAATCAGTCTCTGCTGTGATATATAAAAGAAGAAAAAAACATATAACTATAAATAGCACACTATTTTAGGGAGTGGCGTCGCCAAAATAGTCATGCATAATTTACTAGGTGAATAATATTATGGGAAGGAAACAAGCAAGACAAAACTCTTGTTAAAAATGCAAAATGTCCTGCCTATTAAATGGCAATATATCCTTTTTTTTCCTGAAAGCCAAGAAAAGGACGAGTCGCTGCCAGCAAAATAACCACCGGGTCCATCTATTCAGACGTGCTGTCATCGTCAACCAATTAAACGATAAAAGTTCCATTATAATCTGCAATACAGGGTGTCCACTCGGGTGAAATGCAGAGAAACCAAATCATATCTTTTTGTAATGTAATGTGATCGAACTGGTCACTGAGAGAAACAAAGGGGATATTGTGTAAGAAACGAACAAAGACAAACAGGGCAGTGATCCTCGAGCTAACGTTAGTTCGTTGTACAAATTCGTCGCATATCAAGTATTACACAAACTTGACATCTTAAATATGACCTGACAACAACTCATCACTCGATGGCTGAATATAAACATCCAGCACTAGTGTTTGTCCGATGGGATGCAGGATCTCATCTGGAGACAATAGATGGCCGAGATCCACCCTGAACCCCCATTTTAACATCATGCAAAAATCTATAATATTACATATTATACCATATTAAATAACAATGATGATAGCCTAATAATGTTCAAGGAACATGCTAATACTGAATGAAAACCTTTACAAATAATGGTATGAATGTATGACCCGTTTCCAGCAAACAAGATCACACCCAAATCTCTCCCATTTCACACCAGACACGTTACTGCACTGCCACCTGAAAAGAATAATCTCAGTGCTGACATGCAAAATGCATATTGCTATATGTTCATTAATCGACGTTATTGATGCATGCGAAGATAAATAAAATCATTTGTCCGGATTAGTTGGTGAATGCACAAACAACGAAGACAAAAGACGTCGAGACCCTTAGATCACTTGTCACGTATTTTGGACTAACGTTATGGCGGGCTTATTGTTAAAATTTGAGGTAAAAAAAAAAAAAAAAAACGTTCAAGTCTGTGTCAGCAACAGCAAAACGACAAAATAAACATTCCAAAATGAACTAATAGGAGCCAGTTGGCTATTGTTGAGCTGCACCTCGACCGTTTGCACAATTCCTCCCGATTAAACGACGTAAACACAAAATCTTAATGGTCGCGCGACGACGAGCAGCTGCGATGGCTAACGTTATTTTTAAATTCATGGACTTTCTTTGTTACGGTAACTATCTAACCATACAGAATATTCTCGATGCCCTTGTCTATTATCTAACGTTACGTCCCCTCCCCAAAGAGTGAGATAAATAATGGTGTTACTTAAAAAAACTTAACCCTGTAAATGTTTACAGCTTTGATACTTTCATTACCTGTCACGTGAGGAACGTTTGGCATACATTACAAAAATATTAATATTTTAAAACAAAAAGCACACACCTTTAGATGAAGTGGAAATCAGAGCCAGAGTTGACCGCGCGCAGATTCCTCTCTGCCTCAGCATCAACCGTTCGCGCAAAAGAGGACCAAAATGTGTTACGTCATATTTTGATGTGACCAATGACTGTCGAGAAGAGAATTCTGGGATATGTAGTAGGCCTACGCTATAATTTCAGCTGCGTAATAAAATCGTAGTCCTGATTTACTTTTAAATGATTGGCATATATACACTACCGTTCAAAAGTTTGGGGTCGGTACGATTTTAAATACTTTTAAAAGAATTCTCTTCTGCTAACCATGGCTGCGCTTATTTGATTAAAAATACAACAAAAATCAGTTATAGTATTAAATATTAGTTCAGTGTAAATCAGCTGTTTTCTGTGTGAATATATAGTAAAGTGTAATTTATTCCTGTGATCAAAGCTGAATTTTCAGCATCACCAGTGTCAGTGTCTTCAGTGTCAAATGATCCTTCACAAATCAGTATAATATGAGGATTTGATCTTCAAGAAACATTTATTATTATTATCAATGTTGAAACAGTTGTTGGTCTGTCAGTTGTAAAGTTTTTTTTTTTTTTTGGATTCTTTGATGAATAGGAAGTTCAAAAGACTTTTGTAACATTAAATGTCTTTACTGTCACTTTCGATCAAATTAATTATTCCTTGATAAATAAAAGTAGGCTATTGATTTCTTTCCTACAAAAAATAAAAATAAAATTCTCACTGACCCCAAACTTTTGAACGGTAGTGTATATGACCGCCGCCTTCCCATTTACACAGTATAATGCTTATTTATGAATAGAAATTGAGTCATAAATGATAAATGGACATTACAAAGCACTGGCAGCCTATCGAATATAGGCTAGTTTAATTTAGAGGAATAAAATATGACAACTGGAGAATAGCAAATTTATTTTCCTTAAAAAGTAACTTAAAGGCAATATGAGATGAGGCTTTATTATACTGACCTCACCCATCTAGTCATGCAGAGATACACAGCCCAATAAATTATTAGAACAAAGCAGCAACATGTGACCTACTTTACTTATTGTTTTTAGAGCAAAGCAATCTGGCAATTAACAGTTCACTTGGCATTAGTGATTGTTTTGCTTCTGTTCTTTCCGATGCCTCAGTGAATCCTCTGTCATTGCATGAACTTTAGCTAAATGGCAGAGCTGATAGTCTCAGCACTGCGTTTCAAGCTGACTTGTTATTACTGTCTTGTGGCTGGTGTGTGGTTCTGTGTCACTGAATGGTCTTGGTCTCTGCCTGTTTGGAGTCAGTTACTTGTTTTGACTATTTTAAATGCATAAATATCACATTGCAAATAATAACTTAATAGCAGATACTCTTATCCAAAGGAAAAATACAACACTTAATGGCATACATTTGCATTACATTATTATTATTAATTATAATTATTATAATGTTGCATTACATCATTATATGCATTATTATATATAATATAATCTATTTGCTCCTCAGTTAAATATCTCTCTAATATTTTCCTTAGGCCTTATCTCTGTCCAAAATTGCTTGTATCATGCTCTGCCAGTCTCCTCCTGCCCCACCCTGGATCTCATTCATCCTGTGTGGGGGGAGACATTTAGTAGGCTGCCCAGGGAAAAGGGGGAGCAGATGGTGCTTAGATGCCTCGCCCTGTCTAGGGTCTCTGGTGTCTTACACAAAGACACAAAGAAAGCTGAAAAAAAAAACCTGCCAAGGAAACTTTAGGGCTGTATTACTGGGGCCAGAGGCTATCATAAAAGCTATTTTAGCATTTTAAATTAAATTCATCAGCAGGCCTATCAGAGACTTGTTACACATGTGTTGCTTATCACACATGTCGCTGATTGGCATTTTAAAGGAACGCTAGTGTTTGAATGCATCATGTAAGTATTTATCAAAACAATATATATACAGTACTGTAGCCTATATGTATATTCAGACACCAAAACAGTCCAACAATGGTTCTAAGGTTTAAGTCTTTTAGTATAGACCTTATTCGCAAACACCGGAAGTAGCTAACCGCGGCCATTTTGTTGACATGACATCTGTCCTGCTGCCTCTAGCCGCGCGCAGATTTGAGTTGAGGGGAGCAGTAGCGTTAGCCTAATGGCTTCATCTCGTCGGTATCAAGAGAAGATAAGCTTGATTGGTGTGGACCCACATCAAATAGACCCAATAGCATTAAGTAAAGATCCGTCCTTATTGCCAGCCGTAACTTATCTGGATATTTATAACTAACTTATTCCGTATACAAACTACAATTTACCTCAACAAGGCAACATAATGAACGACACTCGTCTCATTCGTGGAGGTGGAAAAACAAGTTCTTGTGACATGCAAGATTTGTTGTATTAAAATGTAAATGCAAAAGAAAAGGCATGAGAGTCGGTTGTTAAGTTTTCATTTAAAATGTTTGCGATTTTAATATAAGCACATGGTTACATATTTGACCACTTGCTTGAGCAACTTAATATATAGAAGTAATGCATGGAATAATTGGCTTACGTTGTTAAAATAGTGAGTATGTGTTAAAATAAAAATAGTGAGTACCGGGGTGTTTGTGGGACAGCCGCGGATCAGTTACACACTGCAAACGCAGCGTATAAAGCACTGTAGCGCGTCCTGCTTCTGTACCGTATACGCACCACACACACATTGCACACGGATTATGTGTGAAACCTGTGGTAAAATGATGGGAACAGACTTTTCTGTGGGGAGTTGGCTGAAAGTTTAGCCTATTTATCCTAGCTAGCCTCTCCTGCGCTGGCTCAACTCTGTCTCCTTCCCTTCACGTTTTCTGACAGTCGGTAACTTATCGCATAAAAACTAACTCCGGGGTTCTTATTGCTGTTGTTAGAACAGCCGTGTATTACACAACACACCATCGCGCTGTTTAAAAAAAAATACAGTGATAATACCATGGATAATACCGACGCTGCCTCGCTTGTCAATTGACAGACTGACAGTTGCCGTTGTTTCTATGTCAACAATATGGCCGCCGCAAACATTGATGACGCAGATCGAATAACATCTATCCACAAGTTTCCTACGTCCCATGAGGCATTGCGTCAAAAGTGGGCGCGACTTCCGGTTCGAAGTAAACAAGCCGGAGTTGACATTCATTCATTCATTAGTTGACCGTCATTCAAGATTTAGCGATCCAAACTTAATGATGTGGGAAAACAACCTCAACGAAATTAAAAGGGGTGATATAACAGTACCTTTACCATCCGCGGTAGATGGTTGGGAGGATGACGTGAAGA